AATTCATGTTGATTCCGAAGCTTCTATGGCCACTGCTAGTCTACGAGGTGACGATGACTGCAGTGGAAACCATGGAAAAGAAAATCAACACAGCCTTAAGAAAGTGGATTGGTGCACCGCCTTGTCTGACCGACGTGGCTCTGTATTGTAAACAGGCTAAGCTGGTACTTCCGTTCAAGTCAATAACCGAAGAGTTTAAAGTCGGCAAAGTTAGGCTCGCCATGCTTTTGCGCGAGTCCTCAGACCCAAATGTCATCGCTGTCCAGCCCGCTCTAAAGACTGGCCAGAAGTGGAGGGTCCTCGATGCGATAGAAGCTGCTCAGAACGCACTAAAATTGAAGGAGGTAATGGGTTACACACAAACCGACCGTCGAGGCCTAGGGCACGGGAAAGTCAATTGGTGGTCAAAGGCCTCAGCCAAAGAACGCCGAGACATGGTGATGCAAACGGTGAGGGACAACGAAAACGAGGTCCGGGTTCAGAAAGCAGCCCAACAGTCGCAGCAGGGCCATTGGGTCAAATCAAAGCAAACTCTTGAGCACGTCCTGTCCGCGTGCAGGAAAGCCCTAGGTCAAGGCCGCTATACATGGCGCCACAACAAGGTGCTAAAAGAGTTAGCAGCCGTTGTCGACCAGGCTAGAATGAGGGCTAACGCCAGAGCCAGTTCTAGTATCGTCCCCATTCGTTTCCTCAAGGCTGGGCAGGTTCCAAAAGGTAAGGTCAACCAAAACGCATTCGCTCCATCTGCGCTAGACTCTGCGAGGGACTGGTTACTGGCGGTTGATCTGCCAGGACATGAACGGTATCCCGAGTTGATCCGTAAAACCGGCCTGCGACCGGACTCATCCTGATTGAGTTGACGGTCCCGTTTGAGTCGCGTATGGAGGAGAATCATTTGTATAAGCTCGAGAAATACAGTGATTTAGCAGCCGGTTTGAGGAGAAACGAGGCTTACACAGTACGGGTATTTGCCGTCGAAGTGGGAGCGAGAGGCCTCGTTTCCACTTCGCTCTACAATGTGATGAAAGAATTAGGATTGCGCGGTAATGAACGGAAACGAACACTTAAAAAACTGGGTGAGGCAGCCGAAAGGGCCTCGAGCTGGCTTTGGACGCAGCGCAACAACGTAGGGGACGGGCCTCGGTGAGCTGGTCCGGGTGCCTAGCGGAAAGGAGTTTCTCATCCCTTTGAAAGTCCATCGTGTACGAATTGTCTGCCAGTGTTCCTCTGCCAACTGCTAATAAAAGTCCAACATGTGTCCGGTAAACCAAAGTAAGCTTGTCGCTCGGTCGTCCAGGCATGCGGACTGTTCTAATTACGCTGTCGCGGCGGCTTCTTATCTCACAGTACCTCCTTCGAAACCACAAAGTCGTCTTGTCTCTGGCCGAAAGTGTAACACCATCCGGTAATTCCGTGCAGCGGGGAAGCAGCCCTGAGCTTCATGAACTCAGGTGGGCCTACCTCCGAATACGTTTAGGAATCGTGGGCCGAAACGTGTGTCGAAAGAGGATAATTTCTACTGATGACTGTAGATCCCCGCTGTACTTGCTCCCTGTGAGTTTATTCTTATAGAAAGCAAAAAGGAAAAGTGGAAGAAGCTGAAACAATACAGATATTCGGGGTCGTGCTTAAAAGTGTCACACACGAAGCCACGCATGCTTTGCAGCAATGTAGAGCCAGAAACATATAGCCTCCACATGAATTATAGCCCTTATTCTCAGCTTCAGCTGAGTTGATTCAAAAACCGATATCACAACACTAGGGGCATTCCCATAAGCGCTTCGTTCCCATCTTCAGCAGCCAGTAAAGAGTTTCGATACTAATGGTGCCAGTAGCATTCTGATTAAATGTCAGTCTTGCCTTTCCTCTGAGCCTCGAGCATCTGCCAGCACCTCTCGTCACCCCCCCCCCCCCCGCGTCAATCTCACCAGACACTTGTGATCCATCTGCTCCTCCATACTGTACACGCTCTCCCGCAAGGCACTAATTTTCAGCTTCAGACATAATATAGCTGTGTTATACGGCTGAAAGAGGATTTGTATCTAAATCATTCTCATCATTAAGGTGTTAACCCTTTAGATCACGATCTTGAAGAAAAAAAAACCACTACCAACCCTACCCCCTTAGATGATTCGGCAGAAATCTGTCGCGGCCTACTCAGACTGTTCCGCGACACACAGGTTGAAAAACACTGCTCTATACAGATCTCCCCACAAGTTCACAAAAGATCACTTCCGGCTAGATGACCCGGTATCCAGGGCCCTGATTGGCTGCCAGAGATGGCACCGTTCGATAAACTTGTCGTCTGGTCGCTGGTCGCCTTCACATCGCCAGCATCTTTCATGTTTTACCGCTACAGCCTGCTCGAAGCTTAGATCTAACTGCATTCGTATTCAATGGAAGTAGACACCCGTTGTGTACTCTACAGAAAGTGCAACCAGCGTTCGTTTCTGTCACGACAAAGATGTCGATGAGAAGATAAGGATAAGTCGACAGTCGCCAGTGACAGCCACCCATTGTTGGTGTCCGTTTGACTTTTTAAACGGTAAATAACTATTCCCATCTGCGTTTCAGTTTCATCAGACCGGTCTTGGCAGTTTTGATTTATATAGCTTTTGGAAATTTTAACGGTGCTGTTGTGACAGTAAATATTAAAGTAAGTTTAGCAGTTTAGTCGTGTGTTTTGTGTGTGTATGGGTTGACTTAATTTAAATTGTACTTAATTGACCCTGCCCCAGGTCAGCCAGTCGACCGAATTCAGCAGTGATGATACAACAACGGGAGATATGCCATCGACTTTTCAAATAAAAATATTTATTTTTATATAATACATGACAGAAGAAATGACATGGAGCTTTCGGAGAAAGCTAGTAAACATATTTTATTGAATCAGAATTTAAAGTTTCAAAAAAATTAAGGCTCTGGTACAAACCACAAAGTGTCAACTCTTTGAGTCCCAGGGGGTATCATCAGAGGCCCAAGTGATGGTAATGCAATTTTTTAATTTCACAAGTGTAACACATTAAAACAGACCGTACTAATGAGTGCACCTGATATCAGACACAAAGAACTCTAAAGGAAGTTGAAATTGGGCGGTCTGCGTTTTATAACTGGTCAATGGTAGAAATAAAATCTGCGTGCATGTGTGTGTGTTTTGATATGCAACAAGTATTGTGATTCAACCGCCTGGTTACTAAATACTTATTGTATTGAAAATCCTCATAATTCCTTTTAAAAAAAAAAAAAAAACAATCTACTGGATAGAAGTAGAAAAATGAAACCCAACAATACCTTTTTAAAGTTGCTATGTTGATTATTTCTGCATGATCTGAGCACTAAAGAAAATCGGTTCATTAACAGCATCCTGCCCTGAAAACAGGTGATGTGACCATGTTAGATGTTTTGGTGGCCTTGAGAGAGCGGGGATGGAAGATAAACGTTTTTGGAAATTAGGGCAGAGGTAGACCTATGTGAATGTGGATGCATGACACAGAAGATGCAATGGTGATGAAAGCACACAGGGCTGGAGAACTGGCTGAAGAAAGAGAGAACTTTTAGCGTGTCGCGGGGAGAGTGACATTCTGTAGGGCACCTGCTGATGATGTTGATTATGAGTGAAGATGTTTAATTGAGAATTAATAATTTGTTGCGCTTGAGATTTTGAAAGAAAGGCAAATATTAACTCGCAGAATAGCAACAATTTTTTGACACACCTGCTCATGTCCAGTGCCGCTGAATACTTAGGTATGGACTTGTACTGGACGGGCAGTACCCCACTAGGACGCCTATATTTAAAAATGTTGTCACAGTAATTTATCAAGTGAACCAACTAGCAGCAGTGTGTGTGCAAGGATGAAATTAGATGCAGAAATAACTTATTCTTTTCAATAATGTTTGCACATTAAAATTGATCAGTGAGTATTTTGTTTTTTTTCATGATGAAACAACTTATTCAGAACCACACTGATTGAAGTCATTCAGATTTTGCCGTTATCCCCGCAACCAACTTGTGCCAAATCATAAACTTAATTGACCCTTGTGGCTGATGGTTTTTTTGTGTGAACCCTTAATCAACCTTACTCTAAGTTACCTCTTACATATATTCTCATAAGTGTAGTGGTAGTCTTCCTTGTGTAGTGGAAGCGTAACTATTTAAAAAAAAAAAAAAGACATTTACAGAAATCATAAAAAAAAAAAAAAGAAGAACTGTTCCTCCTAATGTAACCTAGACTGAGTGGTCTTGCGGTATGGCATCTGCCTCGAGTGCTGGAATTCCCGGGTTCAAACCCCAGTGAAGGCTGGGATTTTTTTTCATGTGGACTTCTAGTAATTTCCCCTGGTCTCTGGGTAGTAAGATTGGACACCTGTGTGTATTGTTGTGCATGTAAAAAAAATCCCTTGGCAGTTGGAAATCAAAAAAGAGTAGCCTAACAGCGCTACCCAGGAAAATATTGAGTTAAAATCTACCCAAAGTACTTCAGGATCCTTGCCGGTGCAAGAGAGTTAATGCTGTAATTCTTTAGACTCAGGCTTGAGTTAGGAGTAGAATGGAGCACATATGAGTAACACCCATATGTCGTGATGTTGATTCATTGAATAAACAAACATGTACGAAAAGGAGTTCATTATAAATTTAAAATTACCCTTGTAAGTCACATGACTATAGTGAATTTCCGGCGATTAGATGAAAAATGTATCAAGAAAGATTATGTGAAGTGTATTTCAGTGGAATTAGTTCACTTTTCACGCTTACATTACGTGTTGATGTAACACTTTAGTAATGCACCTGACGAATTACAGCAAAATATGTCAGACAGTAAATTGTGCAATTTGCTGTTTGTTTCTGCATTTTGCTTTTAATAATTTCCATGAGATAAGCTGATCATATCTGTCACAAATTTGTGTCTATGTGCATTTGACATGAATATTACTGTTGTGGTCAGTCTTCTAACCGTTTTACCACTTATTATGTCCTGACCATGTCCGTCTCCTTCCAGGTAATGATGGCATCCTTTGTACTGAATTCAGCTGTAGCTGTTGGACACTGTGTTCAGAAATCGGCAACTTTATTGTTGCAGAAGGTGGTTATTTTATATGTTTAGTTAGTTTGTTTCCTTAGCTCAGTTATTCTTTTTCTTTGTCTGTACCTTGCCCAGCAGAGAAACATGTATCCCCATATCTCTGCATTGTAGTGGTAGATAACTGGGGTACGTGTGAGTGAGTGAACAGACTAGAATGTATGCATATGTCATGCTCATTAAGGATATCTCAGCAGTTGCAGAAAACAAGAACAGGTCTCACACAGAATGACTGACTTCCACACAACCTGACTGACTGTATACAACTTTCACTAATCTACCGACTGTCCATGGAGGTGAAGAAACAAGTCAGTTCTCTGGTATCCACAGGTATAAGACAGAGAATATGGCACTATATTGCATGTAATCCTGAGAAGAAACCGGCAGAGAATCCCCAAACAGACCCTGAAATAAGAAATATAGTGATTGAGAGGCGAGGAGGCCCAAAAGAAACTAAAATGAATATTGATAAGAGAGGCCAAAGCTGCTGGACTGGATTCCATCCATGATATTCAAACTAATTGTGCAGGATTGAACGGACTGGAGGAATAGACTGCAAGACATAAATGACTTATAATGGCATGACAGGACAGTCAGTAAATATTCGAAAGGATGAGGCTGGAACCCCTAAGGTTTCAGAAAAATTATGCTTTAGCAACCGAACTAAACCTTTCAACATCTTGTATAATTGTAGAAGTCAGAGGTAACTTGTATTTATCTCTTGATGTCCAACTGTTTCTAAATTCAAGGGTGATCGTTTTCATTGCACTTGGTTTTGTCCCACGTGGCTCGACATCTTTTCATAGAATTGTGCGTCACTGGTGAGGTCATTGCACAGAGCAAAAACCCTAAAGTTCCAGCAGGTGACTTCCAAAACAACTGTACCTGCAAACTGCAGGACAAGGTCCACAATCAGTTTTCAGAACACAAGGCAGACAGTTTAACTACTTGTTCGTGGAGGTTCCCCCGACATTTTTATGTTACACATTTTGAAAAAAAAAAAAAAAAGATTAATTTTTTTGCTGAAGTTTTTGCACATTTGTTTGGCTGACTCTTTATTATCTCTCTTGTCTGCCCTTAAATCCAGAATGTTCCAGTGATCTTCCTGGCATCACGATTTGAGAGCAGCTTGCCACCTCTGACAACAAAGCAGCTTAGTGAGAACATTCAGCTGAGAACAGTACAAGAAACAGCCCACTATCCCAGGCCCCTTGTCCTCCTGTTTGGTTGGATGTTGGCCAAACAGCGCCATCTGGACAAGTATTGCAACATGTACCATAGCAATGGATTTGATGTTCTCAGCTTAAAGGTTGGGATTGTTGTTCTTTTAAAAAAAATATTTATTCAAGTAATTTATTTATTGGAAAGAATGTTGAATGGTTTGGCCATCTAGTGAGAATACAGTCAAACCAAACTGTATGACAGTACTTTAAGAAATTTTTTTTTTTTTAAACAGCAGAATATCTGGGAGGAAGGTTAGAGGAAGACCAAGAAAGCGATGGATAAATGGTGTAGCTGGCTGAAATCTACAAAATGAAAAAAAAAAGTTTATAACAGATCCATCACCTGTGAAGCGCAAGACAAATTCAGGAAACCACAACACTGGGTTATAACCTGGTAACAGTCAGTTGACAGAAGAAGAGGAAGAAGGTTAATCATCATTAATTTCCACTTTTGTGGTTAAGTGTTGCAGGGAGTAACAGTTTTTGATACATTTCTTGATAGATACCACTGGCTATTGTTATTACACATCAGTGTAGAATGTCTTTAATGTTATCAGTCTGTATTCTCATTGGATGTCATCTTGAGTTCACATGAGGTCTTTTTAGGTATAGCACCTGTGTTGGTAGTTGTTGTGGTCGAATTCCAGCGTGATGACAGAACAGTTTCATTTTCTGCTCCTCATAGAATTTGGTGCTCAATGAATTTGAAAAGTTCTGGAAATGGCCTCATACAATTTTTATGGGCTGGGTTTTACCCCCCATCTGTATAATGGATGTGCACCCAAAACTCAAATTCTGGAATAAGACAAAAGTCTAGAAGTGGACGAACAACCAGAACATTCTTTTGGAGTTTACAGCTGGTGGACACGAATAAGAAGGTGAGGTCAGAAAAGAAAATTACCCTACTTTGATTCTTCTTCTTCTTCGCGTTCACCAGCTGTACACTCTGGCGGAAAGTTCTGGTTGCTTTTCCACTACTGAACTGCAGTCCTGCTCCAGAACTTGAGTGTTGCGTGTGCATCAGTTTTACAGATCTCATTCTCTTGAATACAGACTGCTGGTTCCTTGCCTCTCCGGCAGATGCACTCCGACTTCAAAGGAAGCTCCCCAATTAGTCGACTCTTACAACATGCTTTTGGGGAGGCAGTGGGTCTATTCTTGTTTTCCCCACAATGGGGCCCTGGAACCCACATGGGGGACACCTACTTTGATTGAACTGGATCGCTGTCCTAAACTTTAAGTATGCAACAGAAAATTGTGCCTATGCTTCTCCTCAGTATGTTAAATATCTTCCGGAATCTCAGCCCCCCCTTTTTCCCCCTCCCCTCCAACCCAGCCAAATCCCACTGAATTAGTCTTTCAAGGTGTGGATATTCTGTTCTGTTCACTGTCCATTTGATCAAAAAGAGAGCCTTTGCTATATCCACTTTACCATAAAGTAGCCCAAAATAACCCTGCTTTGGTTGAACTGGACCAGTGTCCTCAACTTCAAGTTTGCTACAGAAAGTTGTGCTTTCTGATCACCAGATGAAACCTGCCCAAGTGCTGATCCCCCAGAGAGCCCAGAACACTGTGGAGCAGCTTCTGTCAGTCCTGCAAGAACCAGGTTTAACAAAACGCCCCCTGATGGTCCATGGTTTCTCAGTTGGAGGTTACATGTACGGGGAGCTTCTCCTAAAACTTGACCAGCAAAGGGAGAAGTACCAGTGTATCCGGGACCAGCTTACCTGCCAGGTGTTTGACAGCCCTGTGGATTTTGAAGGAGTTGCCCCGGGGTTTGCTTCCGTGCTTGTGGACAATAAGTTGGCTCAAAAGGTCATCAGGAAGTCACTTGAAGTTTATTTGAATACCTTCAAGACAACCATCACCAGCCATTATCTCAGATCTTCAGCAGCCTTCCACAAAAATGAGTTGCGTCTGCCATCCTTGCTATTGTACTCACGTTCTGATCCTATTGGTGTAGATACCAAGATTGAGCAGGTAACTTGATGCTGCTTTATATTTTTGATAGCCAAGTTGGCATTTCTGTTATCTGTTCTACACAAGCGCCTGCACACACATGTTGTTGTTGTTGTTATTGATCCATCGGCTCATGAGCTTTTGCCCTTTGGCCCAAATCTGCACACACACATAAACACGCACAAATATTCTCAGATTCAGGTCATTGTTTTAGTACTGTTTTTATCCCGGTGTATGCTTTAAGTCAGTGGTTCTTAACCTTCCTAATGCCTCGACCCTTTAATACAATTCCTCTTTTTGTGGCGACCCCCAAGCATAGTTATCTTCAGTACTACTTCATAACTTCAATGAATATGTGTTTTCCTGTGGTTTTAGGCGACCCTTGTGAAAGGGTTATATGACCCAAAAGAGGCTCACGACCCACAGGTTGAGAACCGCTGCTTTAAGCCCTTTGCTGATAACTGCTGCGGCCTACTTGAACAGATGAAATAGTTAGCAGCTGCCCTATTTTGATATCATCGTTATCATAATTTTACTCTTGTATCCAAATAAGCGAAAATGTCACTGGTTCACTGATATGGAGAAGATAACGTCACCAGATCATGGATATGAAGTATTAAATGAGGCACAAAAACATTTTCCACGCTTTAAAGTATATGATGCAAACGTTTTTATAGACTAATCAGCACTTGGTGGAGGATAGGTTAGTATCATGTTGGCTTCCTTTACTTCCAAGGAAATTTCCAGTTACATATTTCATGCTGAGTAGTCCTGGAAGTTATAGTGTCTGGCTGAAACCATTTTGTAATGCTTTAATAATATAGCTGTAAAACAAAAACAGACACTGAAATGGGAAGCGATTGGTTTGAGGAAGTTAGGTTGTCGAAAGTAAATCCTACAATGACAAGAGAGGCTGAAGGTGCAAGAATGATTTCCATCCGTAATATTCACACATAAGCACGAACACACACACACACACACACATATATATGTATATTTGTTCAGGCGAGGAATCAGCCCTGAGCCCTGTGTGCCATATAAAAGACGCATGATGCTAATAAGTTGTAAAGTGGAATTATTACAAATATTGTTTTCTGCTTGGTTGCACTGATAATTAGTTAGCTGTCGACAGATTACCCTCATTGCACATCAAACCATTCAGTTCATAAGTACTTGGATCCCCTCCTTGTAAACTTTGCAGCGCGTAGCCGCTCATGGCATCATTTTTGGGCTATCCTTCGATTAACGGGTACTAAAGATGGCGGCGGTCAAATTATCCGTTCAAGCCGCAGTCACGTGTCAATTGCGCGCTTCCAGCTACTTAATTTGCGGTCTTCCCGCCGTTTTCCGCCAACAATTGCTACTGCCACGTGGCGACCACGCCGTTCACGCATCTCCTGCAGCTTTGCTCGTGAGTCCCAGCCATCTAGTTTAGCCCCAATCCACGCCGCGTGAGCGGCGTGTGTTCCACATGGTGGTAGCCATAGTAGTCAGAAAAGCGCACATTAAGTAGCCGGAAGCGCGCAATTAACATGTGACTGCGGCTCGAACGGATAATTTTCCGCTGCCATCTTTAGTGCCCGTTAATTGAAGGATAGCCCATTTTTGTGTTGGTTTGTTAATCTTCTTTGGCTTCCTATATAGTGCTCTTTTCTGGCCAAATCCCTTTTAACATGCTGTGTTTTTCATTTGGGGGGGGGGGGCAGTCTGGTCATTGTTGCAGATTCAAAGTCATCCCTTGGTTCCTGCAAATGTCTTGCTTCTCTCAGAGAATTCAGTATATCTGTCGGGTTCGTTTTTTGCCTGCCCTTCACAGTAGCTTCACCTGCAAGCCTGTCTGCTTGTTCATTTCCTTGCATGACTGCGTGCCCTGGCATGAAAATGAATCTGATCTTTGTCATTACTAACTGCCTCAGAGACTCCGACCTAGCCCATCTCTTATCTTTCTGAGTATACTCATTAAGTAACAGAGAAAGTATGCGTGGATGAAGATCTGTCTCCAGCCCTGTTGTTGCTTCGGTCACTTCCATGACCTCCATATTCAAACTACTTGTAGTCAAGGCAAAAAGTACCAGAATCTTGCTTTGCTTACCAATACTGACCTGTTGCAGTGTTTTACTTATTGCCTTCTGTCTGTGCGGCGCACATGAAATATATCGCTGTCTGAACTGGTAGTCATTAGTTAGTGTAAGTATGGCAATAGTGGTGAAGCATCATGATATCTTTGTATGATTTCCAGGTCATGAAGAAGTGGAAAGCCGCTGGGGTACCTGTGATGGCCCGCTGCTGGGAGAGTTCACCCCATGTCAGTCATTTTCATCGACATCCCGATGAGTATGTTGAGGCCGTACTGAAATTCTTAGACTCTGTGGGACTAACAAAACAAGAAGCTGCAAAGAAAGTTCTTCGCAGTAAAGTTCAGAAGTCCCAGGAAGCACAGCAGGCGTTGTGAACTACAGTTTTAGCTCCATCTCTTTGATCTGGCCGATGCAGTGCCCCCTTACGTTACAATCAAGTTTGTTTCTCCATATAGCATTTTTCATGGGAAACACATCATGAGAGTTCTCTTTCATGAGAAAAACAAAAAAGTTTGAAAAGTTACCGAGAAATAACAGTATAAGATACAGAATTGTTACTGTACTATAACTCAGTTGAGGTGACAAGCATTTTATAAAGATATATTTCAAGCTAGTTTCTAGTAACTCATATAAATTTATCTGTGTGTAATACGAGTTGACTGCATGACAGTTTGTGGAGAGATAAGGCTCTCTTGGAATGTGGACCTGTGACGGCAAGTAGAGATATGCCCCGTCTTTATTTATTTGAAGTGAGCACTCTTTCCCCGTGCCCCAGATCCCCTATCACCCCTTGTAACAATTGCATATGTTATATTTGCAGATATTGTATTGTTAACATTATTTTCTTGTTAACATTCTCTAAAAATGCTAACTTCAGGTCACAAGTCTTAAAGATGATGAGAAGAATGAGTGCACACAGATTGGGATTTGGTCACAGAAAAAATATGTTTTGTTTTGTGGTTTACTAATTACATTTTGTCTGTCACTTGAAATATGTTTAAAACAGAAATACTTAGGCAATTTGAAAATGTTATTATTGACACTGCCAAGTATTTTTCTCCAGCGCTGGAGACAGAGTGTTTGAAATTTGTAAGCACTTTTAAACTGATTAATGATCAAGCTTTAAAAAAAAAGTTAGTCCCAAAACATACATGTATGATCAGCTGTTCCTCTAAAATCCTAGCCACAATTTGATGTGTTCCCTTGTTACATTTGGTCGGAGCAAAACGTGAGAAATCTACTTTTCCAAGTAACTTGCACTATAAATTTTAAACTTTTTCGTGAAAATTGTGCACTGTGGATTTTTTCATAATGATTATTTCTCATTTGGACATTGCAAAGCTTAGAAAGGGCTCAGAATTAGATTGTGTATGTAAGATATGGTTTCTGTATGTGAAGGTTTGTATGTAAGGCATAATTTTGGTACATTTTGAAGAAAACATCTCTGAGCACTTAAAATGTTGCGGTTTGTTGGACCAGTTAAGTGATATGTATGTGTGTTCATGTTGTTGCTTTTGCCCAATAGACATTGGCTCATCTCAGCAAGTTCACTTACAGTATATGGAAGAATTATCTGGCAAGGATCCTCTAAAATAACAAAAGTTGTGTGTTGTTAACGTATATATTCCATATTGGAATCTGCAAGATATATTAATATGTGGATATTTGTAAACAATGTGATGGATGATTGAATCTTCAAAATAATATGACCTTTTTTGGCAGGTTTTGTTAAATAGGGTGATTCAAGAAAGGTGCAGAAATAAGAAATATTTGGATGACCGCTTTCATCATCCATTATCAGTCAAATAAGATGGTGCTGAATTGGGTACAACATGAGGAGAAATGGACAAAGAATTAAAAAAAACAGGCACTGAAATGAGGAACAAGTTGATTGAGGAAACAAGGGTACCCAAGAGAAATCCTAAGACAGACGTTGTTGAGATAGACTAAAGGTGCGGGACTGGATTCTAACCATTATTATTGAAAGGATTGCGCTGGGAATAACAGAATTTAGAACTGGAATATGGGCCCTGTGTGACTTATAATGTCACAGTAGGACGATGATGTTGAAGGTTGATTGTCAGATTTCTTACATTCTGCCTTTCTTTTCCAGACAGTTATTAAAAGCGTCTGGTGACCATTTAGGGAGACACTGTTTATTTTAGTGAACCTCTGGGGTTGAACAGGTTATCTCAGATGGGTATTGGATAATTTTTTAGGAAATGACTGGAAAGGGGAAGAGGAGGAGGTAGAAGATGTGAGCTGGCACTTTTCCTCCTTGTACCAAGGTCTGGAACATGTCAAGGCTTACCTCTGCACAGGCCAGTGATAATCTGGCAAGTGATCTTCTTTATTAGAATCAGTTTTTGGTGTATGGTTTTGATGCAGTGTTAGCAGTAAAGAAACACTGGAATCATCTTATTGAAGCACCTATTCTTTTTAATGAAACTTTTGATATTATTGATGTTAATCCTCAAATTTAGCAGATGATCAAATTAATTTGTTCTACGGGTTGTTTGACCATCTTAAGTGACTTAATTCACATTAATGACTGTCAGGTTGTACATAAGATATAAAGTGGATTATTTGAGCTTGCAGGCATTTTCATGGTCTTGTTTCTTGAAGAATAATTTCAAGTTGTATCTTTTTGTCTTTAAAAAAAAATTTTTTTTTTTTACACCGACACACAAAAACAAAGTTATATCTCATAACATGTTGTATTTCGATGCATTTTCAGTACCATAACATGGTAGAGAGCTGCCACATCTTGTAAATAACGTCTGCTAAGAAAATGTCACATTTGGAAACTTGGGGTAGAACTACTTACTAAATACTCAAAGCATTTTTAATTAGCATAATGCTAATTAGCAGGCAACAAAAATGAATACATTATTGTTTTGCACCAATGCTTGTTGTTAACTTGGTAATCAACATTGAAGTTCTGTTATTTTATCAGTTCTAGTCAGTCGGCTTCAGTTATTATGTTGATGTTATGTTTTGGAAGTTGGAATATTTTTCTTGCTTTTGTTCCAAAATGTTGCTCACTTATATACAGAAGTGTACGTAGAACTGTTCATATGGCTTAGTGGTAGATGGCCTGCTCCCAAACATGGAAGTCTTGTGTTCGATCCCTGTGATGCATTTCACCGGTTTTCCATCAGCAAATCAACAAGGGCACGGAGATCTGCTGAACTGTACTCTACACAAGGGAAAGGACAATAACAGCTTGACCAGAAGAGAATTATACCTCATTTAAAATACGGACCCCAATGGAAACAACACCTGACTGAGATAAAGATGACACTTCAAGGAGATAAGATCTTGGTGATATGGCAATGACACCTTCATAATATGACAGTGACGCCTGAGCAGGTAACATGACAACTCAATAAAATAACAGGGACACCTAAGGGAAATTATACACTGATCCTATGGCAATGACATCTTAGTGAAATGACAGTGACATGGCAATGATACATCCAGACAAAAATGATATGACAGTGACACCTAAGTAAGATGAAAGTGATACCCTGGTGGGATGATGATATCATCTCGGTGAGAAAATGGTACCCGTAAGACAACAGTGACCCAGCAGAGTGAAATGACAGTGACATCTGTGACGTGACAATGACACATCACTGACATGACACTTACACCTCACTAAGATGACAGTGATATGGTGAGATGATGACAATTTCTCAGTGAGATAATGGCATCAGTAAGATGACAGTGATACCATGGTGAGATGATGATGACATCTTGATGAGATAATGGCATCAGTAAGATAACAGTGAGATGGCAATGACATCTAAGTTACAATGAGACAGCATTGAAACCTCATTGAGAGAACAGAGACACCTGGGTGAGATGACAATAGACAACTGTGATATGACAGTGACATTTTAGTGGAACAGCAATGCTGACATAGTGAGAATGTTGTTTTCAGTTCAGTTCTGAATCATTGTTTGCACCTTGTTTATGTTTAATCACGGTAATTTGGTTATACAGTCGAGTCTAGATAAGTGGAAGTCGCAGGGACCTAAGAAAATGCTTCCACTTATCAGGACTTCTACTTATCCAGACAGCACACACAATAGAGAAAATTGCCGGGACTAAGCTGGTCATGTCGACTTAACCTAAATTTGACTTATCTGAGTTCGACTTACGTGGACTCGACTGTACAATATTTTCTTCCTATGTTTGTTTTAATTAAGAATATTTTTAATTATTGCGGTGTTAAAATGTTTTCATTATGATTTGTTGAGGTGAGGTCTAATATAAAACATGTGAGGACCTTCTCTCTAGTGTAGAATCCATGTTTGGTTTAATTTGTAAAGAATCAATTTTACACTTTCCCTGTGTAGGTACGGGAGCCTCATTTTGAGGGGGGGGGGGGGGGGACAGAACGGAACACCGGCTTTTGTTGTTCCCATCAAGCATGTTATAAAAGTAGACTAATTAGTGGTGTTTCCTTGGAGGTCGTAGTGTATCTGCCTGTCAAATAGTGGTGTTTCCTTGGAGGTCATAGTGTATCTGCCTGTCAGCTAGTGGTATTTCCTTGGAGGTCGTAGTGTATCTGCCTGTGGTGTTTCCTTGTCGGTCATAGTGTATCTGCCTGTGGTGTTTCCTTGTCGGTCATAGTGTATCTGCCTGTCAACTAGTGGTGTTTCCTTGGAGGTCATAGTGTATCTGCCTGTGGTGTTTCCTTGTCGGTCATAGTGTATCTGCCTGTCAACTAGTGGTGTTTCCTTGGAGGTCATAGTGTATCTGCCTGTCAACTAGTGGTATTTCCTTGGAGGTCATAGTGTATCTGCCTGTCAAATAGTGGTGTTTCCTTGGAGGTCATAGTGTATCTGCCTGTCAACTAGTGGTATTTCCTTGGAGGTCATAGTGTATCTGCCTGTCAAATAGTGGTGTTTCCTTGGAGGTCATAGTGTATCTGCCTGTCAACTAGTGGTGTTTCCTTGGAGGTCATAGTGTATCTGCCTGTCAACTAGTTGTATTTCCTTGGAGGTCATAGTGTATCTGCCTGTCAACTAGTGGTATTTCCTTGGAGGTCGTAGTGTATCTGCCTGTCAGCTAGTGGTATTTCCTTGGAGGTCATTGTGTATCTGCCTGTGGTGTTTCCTTGTCGGTCATAGTGTATCTGCCTGTCAACTAGTGGTGTTTTCTTGTCGGTCATAGTGTATCTGCCTGTCAACTAGTGGTGTTTCCTTGTCGGTCATAGTGTATCTGCCTGTCAACTAGTGGTATTTCCTTGGAGGTCGTAGTGTATCTGCCTGTCAGCTAGTGGTATTTCCTTGGAGGTCATAGTGTATCTGCCTGTGGTGTTTCCTTGTCGGTCATAGTGTATCTGCCTGTCAACTAGTGGTGT